CACCCACACCCACCCACACACCCACACCCACACCCACACCCACACCCACACCCACACCCACACACCCCACTAAGTCACGTATTACAACAACACATAAACGAAAATTGGTTCTGTTTTTGTCCACGTTATGATTGATCGAAAATTAAAGCTTCATCGTCCAATCACAGAGATGATCCTATTGGCTGAGCAGTAACCAGTAGAAATCAAGTTTTAATAGGAAGAACTTGCTAGGATAATTTTGATGTCTACACATGCTATGATGACCCACCTGTCTAGACAAGTTCAGAAGCGATGAGCTGTTCAAAACGTTCACTACCACAAACTGAACTATTTGAACAGTTCTTTTCAACGACCTTAACCTTTCCAAATAGTTCGGCTCTATGAGTTGATCATCATGGAAAGCTATACATACCATCTTCAGGATTGGTTGAAAACATCCCAGGCTGGATAGGGTGTGGGTATGGGGTATGGGTGGGTGGGTTTAGTTGGGAACCTTCATTCACCCACCCACACCCACACTCACACCCACACCCCACACCCACACTCACACCCACACCCCACATCCACACCCACACCCACACTCCACACCCACACACCCACACCCACACCCACTCACACCCACACTCACAACCAACCACACCCACACTCACATTCACATCCACACCCACCCACAACCGCACCCACCCACACCCACACCCGCCCACACCACCAACACCCACATCCGTACCCATCCACACCCGAATAGTTTCAGTATGAGTCAATAAATATTCTACAGAGTAAGATATTTTTTTAATCTTAGTAACCAACAGTTGCAGAGAAAACAAACACAATGACACGATAAAAAAAGACCACTGCAAACGTAGCTGAAAGAAGAGCGCGAGAGGAGCACAAAACTCACGGTGAAAAAAAATAATACAAGATTCAGAAAAACAGAAAAACAAATAAAATCTTATAACTCCAGTTAACGGATAAACGATAAAAACGTAACAGATTAGTAATACTCAGAAAATGTGTAACTGTAATAGGAAGGATATTATCTTCAAGAGTTACTACTAGAAAATATCGAATGGTATAAGAAATGTCTGAATCACAGCTGTAGGATGTCAATAAATAGACATATACAACTACCGTGGAAATAAAGGAGACCGACGAGTTTACGTAGTAGAATTGCAGAAGGGAATTCAACTGAGCCTTAGGTTGACCTTTGCTCTGATGGAAAATCTCTTTCTACATTGGTGTTGTATATATTGAACTATATTCAAAAGACTGTCTATTGTATGACCCAATCAGCGAAGTTTATCATGTGAATCGAATAATCATACACTCTCCATAGTCATTATTTCCTCCATAACTCGTTCATGCTTTTGCAATGATTTCTCTAGCCAATTAACGAAATAATCCTGGAGCTGTTGACGAAGTTCTATATTTGGACAAAACAGTTCAACTCGGTTTTTCCTGCTGTACACCATAATAGTCTCTTCAGTAACTGTAATAGCGCATCCTTGCATTAAGCAAATATATCTAATAATGCGAAGCCAACACGAAATTTTCGTGTCTAAAAACGCCCTAACACATTTCTCTGGAGAAATATATCTAAAACACCAGCCGTTCTTGTCAATACACGCCGAAAGTTTCTTAACTGTATCATTTTCTAAATCGGACATATATGGTAACAAAAACAGCAATTTTCCCAAGGTCTTTCTTACTTCGTAGTACACCACAGGGTAACTACTCTCATAAATGTCTAATAACTGCCCTATCACATACTTCGTTGCTGCTTTTACACCTATTCTACCTAGAGTTTCACACGCATTTCTACTAACGCCATGATTCCCATTATCAACTAAATCGATCAGTCTATTAATTACTTCATTACTTACTTCTTTTGCATCCATCCTACCCAGAGCTTTACACGCACTAAATCTAACCTGATCCTCCCCATCCCAAAGTGCATTCACGATGCCATTGAGTACTTTATCAGTTGTTGCTTTTCCACTCATTTTACCCAAAGCTTCACACGCTCCCCTCCTGACGAAATATTCACTATCACCAAGTGCCATCAGGAGTGTCTCCATTATCTTATCGGTGGCAGCTTTTTCACCCATTTGACCGAGAGCAACACATGCACAACCTCTGACCCTGTAATTCTTAGCTCCAAGTGCACTGACCAATCGACTAATTGTTTTATTGGTTGCGGCTCTTTCACCGATATTACCGAGAGCTTCACACGCACTACTTCTGACTAGAAAATTCTTAATCCGAAGTGCACCGACGAGCCGATTAATTATTTCGTTCGTTGCTGCTGTTTTGCCGATCTTCACGATAGCTTCACACGCTTTTCCTCTAACACTTTCATTCGTCTCTCGAAATGCACACAGGAGACTATTGATTACTTCATTCGTTGCAGCTTTTCCACCCATTTTACCGAGAGCTTCACACGCCTTTTTTCTGACGTTGTCTTCTCTCTTTTGAAATGTGCTCAGGAGTCGATTGATTATTTTACTGGTTGCTGCTTTTTCACCCATTTGGCCGAGAGCTTTACACGCACTACTTCGGACTAAATGGTTCGTATCCCAGAGTGCACTTGTGAGCTGATCAATTATTTCCGTTGTTGCTACTTTTTCACCTATCTTACCGAGAGTGTCACATGCACTACTTCTAATGCCATAGTCTTTATCCTGAAGTGCA